GCAGATCTGTCCTCGCAGAGGAGGGAGAGCTTGTACCTGAATAAAACTTGGTCTTAAAGGTGCCACTGGACTGTTTTGGACCCGGGGGAGCTCTGCAACCTGGCTGCTTCTTGCTCTGACTAAGGGCTGCTGGGAGCAGGGGGTGGGGCTTGTTGCATGTGCCCGCCCCCTGGGCTCTTTACTGCCAGAGCTCCGCTCCTGTGCACTCCTGCAGGAAATGACCCCGGCTACCCTGTTTCTAATCATTATATCTTGGCAAATGCTCCCTGATTCATCTCTCCAGTGATCTATGAATATTGCAACGGAAACATATAGCACTTCATGCTCTGTTGATGTGGGAAATTAGTTACGTCTCTTGGGCCTCACGGCTGCCCTGCACAAACCACTCCCATCCAGCAGCATGTTGCAGTCAATCAACAGGGTGGTGGGACAGTGATCATTTAGAGAAGCTCATAAGGATGCTGTAATTAGGGAAGCCATGATAAGTCCCTCCAGAAAGCCCCGTGGTTTCCCATAACTAGTGGTTAGTGACTCTCACTCTGCTCAAGTCATATTTTACTTTTGGGCTGCTAATTGCGAGCTTCCCCCCTGAACTATTAAAAAAAAAGCGCCTTCCCCCCAGGGTATTAAATTGGCTCAGAGTATTTTGGGTTTTTTTGGTTTTGCACATTCTTGCAACGCCACTGGGGAGTTGTAGTGCAGTGCAGCAGTGGGCGGACAAGCAGCATCTATATATCTAATAGCCAAGTTGCCCCCTCCATGCGGATATCTAAATCCGCACATCGGGGGCCCTTGGGGGGGCAGAGAGATTTTCCTGCACACTTGGAGCAGTCCCCAGGTGTGCAGAAAAATCTAAAAAGTTGAAAAAACATACGGGGGATATTTAAATCCCCCCAAAAGTAAAAGAGCGTTCCCTGTATATGCGCAGAGAACGCTCTGGGAACTCTGCGGCGGACCCGGCAGCTGGGAGGTGCTCAGGCCTCACCGCCAGTGCCCGGGGGGAGGAGAAGGCTTACCTGCGGAGCTGCTTCTGCAGGCCGGGAGCCTTTAGGAATACTCCCCCTCCGTGAGTATCGTGGGTCCCGCTTCTTGTAATTGCCTAAGTTACAGGTGTGATGTTTCATATCACTGGCTTGCAGATGGAGTTGGGACCACGGTTCTGTAAACTGCATGGCCATTAAAAAAGAAACAAACAAACCCAAGTTTTAACCATCAAGAAGGAAGGAGTTTTTTCTACCCCCCTCTACATTCGTAATATTTTTTTGTCATCTATCTTAGAAATCAGCAGGTGTTCTACATTTATTTTTGTAGTTTTCCTTAAGAGGCAGGTTTCTTTTTCATGCACGCATCTCTTTCCCCACATTTTGCTTTTCTCCCTTTTTCATCAGCTGCAGTTCCCCTTTTATTCCTGATGATGGAGCACTTTAACAGTTAATGACTTCAGGTAGCTCTCCGCGGATTGTGTAGATCAATTTTTTTTTTCTTTCTCCTCTAGGCTATAGAGAGGTTCTTCTTGGTTTTCGCTAAGGACGTGTTATGCACCAACTCTGGTAAATAGATCCTAACATCATTGAAAAATGGCTTTGGGGAGAGGTGCTCTTGAATGGGGAAGCTGCGTATGTGTGTGCATTCTTAACCTTTTGCCAGGCAAGGGGCAGCTGCCAGGATGGGCGATCTGCCACAGAGACCTGGCACCAGTGTTCCCTCTAAACTGAGTTAGTGTGAGCTAGCTCACAGTTTTTTTAGCCTCCAGCTCACAGATTTTTGTCTCGGCTCAGGACGGATGGGTCCAGAGCAAACTAATTTATGCAGTGGCCAAATCGCTCACTCACAACTTTAATGTCAGTAGCTCACAAAGCATAATTTTTGCTCACAAGTCTCCATGGCTTAGAGGGAGCATTGCCTGGCACTAGGCAAGGAATTAAGTACGCCTCCCCTTTTGCTTCTCCAATCAAAAGTGATTCCCCCCTCCCAAAGCTCGTTTCTTTTTCAAAAGAAGGAAAGAAAGAATGCACAATGCTGGGGACTGCTATACATGTGTGACATTACTGGCTATCTTCAAGCAGCAGCTGGGCATACAGTTGTCAGGGATGTTCTAGGCTGATCTTGCACTGTGCAGGGGGTTGGACTAGATGGCCTCTGTGGCCCCTTCCAGCACTTACGGTTCTATGATTATTTCCTACCTCTAAGGGCAGATCTAAGACAGCGGCCTACCTGCATTTCAGGATCAGGTTGTTGCTGAATCCCTCACAAAGGTGGTGGAGGGAACATTCAAAGCACAGCATGGTTGGGTGGGAAGGAGGGATTGGATCTGTTCCCCTAAGGGTGCCAACTCCAGGTTGTGAAATTCCTGGAGATCTGAGGAGGTGGAGCTTGTAGAGGGTGTAGGGGGAGTTGCCTCAGTGGCAGATAATGCCATAAAGTCCACCTTCTAAGGTTGCCATTTTCTCTAGGGTATCTGATCTCCAGCTTCCACCTGGAAGCTGGCAACTCTACACTCTCCTCCCCCCACTTCTTTTTAAAGCTGTATTTTCCCCAGGGTGTTTCAGTGACCAGAATTAACTATTCCAGGACAATTTGGAGGGGGGAGCAATTTTGAGGGAAGGGTGCAGCAGAGGTCGATTCGGGGGGAATCGCGGGGGATCGCAGTTCCCCCGGGTGAGGTGCGGGGAGGCAGGGCACACGACGAAGCCCCGCCCCCCGCTTCCGGTTGCCCCGCTTCCGGCCCTCATTCAGCCAGGAGGAGGCAGGAGAAGAGGGAAGGTAAGTTGCTTCCTCCCCACCTCTCCCCACCCCTGCCTGCTTGGGGCCAGGGAGGGCCTTGGCGGGGCTTCCTCGCACTCCCGCCGGCCTTGCAGATCCACCGCCAGGCCTTATGACACACTTCCGGTGATGTCAGGGGGTGTGGCATATGCTAATGAGTTATGCTAATGAGTTCCCCTAGCTCTTTTTCTACGAAACGACCCCTGGGGTGCAGTACCCCTATCCCATGAAAAATTATAGCTCTCCCCACCACCCCCGCCAGTTGTGTCAGGATTTGCCATGAACCAGGTTGGATCATGCCACATTATGACTAGCTTTGAAGACCCAGAAGACCCTGCTCTTGTGAGGAGCTGAATGTGAACTAGAGAGGGAGGGAGTATGGGGTCTTCCTTCAGGTAAAACCCCTTGAAGGGTTCCAGTTATACAAGGAGAATGGAAGAGAAATAAAGGAGGACAACAGCTCTTCTGCATTCTAGAAAACACAGTTTGTCTTTGCAAGGGACAGAAAGAGCTGAAGTCCCCTCATTTAACACCCCTATTAAAGGTGCATCCTGACCTCATCAGATCTCACAAACTAAGCAGGGGCTGGCCATGTTTAGTACTTGGGATGGAAGACCACCAAGGAAGTCCAGGGTTGCAGGCCATGGCAAACCACCTGTGGATATCTCTTGCCGTGAAGACCCTGCAGGAGTCACTGTAACTTGGCTGTGACAATGGCATTTTCCACCACCCACCATTAAAGATATAGGAGTCCGTGCATCTGCTCACCTTGTGCTGTAAGCTATGCCAACCTTTCTTCTCGGATGAGAGGAGCCAGTACTTACGGACACAGGGAACTGACGGCCAAACTGTTTTAGGGTGGAGCCAACTACCCTCCAAGGAGCATTTGGTGTGGTGGTTAGGAGTGCAGACTCTACTCTGGGAGAACCGGGTTTGATTCCCCACGTCTCCACATGCAGCTGCTGGTGTGACCTGGGGTCAGTCATAAGTTCTTTCAGAGCTGTTCTTTCAAGGGCAGTTCTCGAGAGAGCTCTCTCAGCCCCACCTACCTCACAGGGTGTCTGTTGTGGGACGGGGAAGGGAAAGGTTATTGTAAACCACTCTGAGACTCCTTTGGGTAGTGAAGGGCAGGGTATAAATCCAATCTTCTTCTCCTCTTCCTCCAACTTAAGAAGTTCTTACTCCAATAGAAGAGCCACAAGTTGGCAGAAGTCTCCTTAGGCCAAAGGAGGGCTTCAGACATTGCTCAGTAGAGTGGGAGGACATGTGTAGTGTGTTACCGCCAGTGGCCTGCCTCGTTTGGGGAAATTAGCTGTGCGGCAGGAGAGGCAAGAGAGGTACAAGGGACCGCAAACCAAGGTCTGGTATGGTAGGAAGACTCCAAATTTGAAGAATAAATTAAATTGCTTTTATTAAAGAATTTCCCTAGTTACAAGCACTCTCTAAGCATTCAAAAAGAGCAAGCAATTCAGAACTGAGAAAGCTGAAGTGATGAGAGCGAATAGAGGGGACAGTTATGGGTTAATACAATCTGTCCAGACTTGCAGGGGGCCATGAAGAAGGGATTGTGGCCCAAACAAAAGTTTGGGGGTGGACTGCCAGTTGTCATCAGGGCAGAGGTATACCCTCTGACAGCATGTGCGTGGATGGATATAGACATTAGAGAACAATGCTGACCAATGGGAGATCTTAAGAGGCTTGCCCCAGGTGATGACAAAAGATTACCTGGGCCAATTAGATGTTCCAGGGGGTGCAGTTATCAGGAGGGGCATGGCCGAGGTGTGACCAGTGAGGTCCCAGAGGGGCAGAGTCTGGGTTCACAATAGCTATGATGGGATTACTGGAGATGGCTGAATGAGTTTGAGGATCACTAATGGTTCTGCCAAGGCAGATTGAGTAGGTTCCCAAGTATAGACAAAAGGTGGGAGATGAGTCCCTGATTAGCATCAGGAAGGACCGCTAAACATTTGAATGTATGATTAATTTATCTCGGTATCTTGAGGGAAGGAGCAGGAAAGACAGTTGTGAAGACAAAGGATTTTCACATAGACGTACGTGCACACAAAAAGGGCTGGGTGAAGTTCTGGAGGCAGAAGGGCTATTCACTAGGTGGTCTTTGAATAGCCTTTAGAAATGCAGATACTTTACCTGGTGGAACTGCCATTGTTTCATAGGCATACCTTTGCTGGGTGGGGGAGAAGACTGGAGGTTTGCTCTGAGTGCTGCCTTTATGCCACCTGAAAATGGAGAGCCTTTTCAAGAGCTATGGCTTGCTCTGTGTTTCAGAACCAGGGGTGCCCTCCTTGGCCTGAGTTTGTAGGTCTCTGGTTCAGGTTAAAAAGTAGGGTGCCCCTGCTGTTGGGGCCACCCTAGAGCAATGTTCCCTCTAAGCTGTGGAGTCTTGTGAGCAAAAATTCTAGTTTGTGAGCTACCGGCATTAAAGTTGTGAGCAAGTGATTTGGCTCCTGCATAAATTTGTTTGCTCTGGAGCCATCCTTCCTGAGCTAAGGCAAAAATGTGTGAGCTGGAGCCTAAAAAACTATGAGCTAGCTCACACAGCTTAGAGGGAACACTGCCCTAGAGTAAGGTAGCCCCTCTGGACTACATAGGGCCACCCCACTGGTTTGGAAGGAACTCTGTATGTCTTGGGTGACCTTGGGCTGCCCATAGTGTCTCTCAGCCTAACCAACCTCGCAGGGTTGTTGTGAAAATAATCCTCCTATGATGTCAGTATTAATTCCCTCGTGCGGCTTAAAGCACCCGGGGTTGGGTTTCAGTTGGAGAAGCAAGTAAGATGGAACCTGCTCCCATCTTCTGTCTTATTAATTGCAAAGGCACCTGAACTAACAGTAATGTCTTGGGCATTTATTTATTTCAATATATGTTGGTAAAGGTTTGTTTTACTTTCTTATGTTATACTAGAAATAAGGCCCGTTGTGGAAATAAATACAACGAGATCTAGAAAGAGGCTCTGGGAGAGTGCTCTGACTTTGGGCAAACAGTGTCAGTCTGCTTTTAAAACATGAACCTGGGACCTGCACACCACCAGAATACAGCAGGTTCCATATGCAACTGACATTCCAACTGCCTTGCGGGGGGGGGGGGGTTTGAGTTGTGGAATGGAGTGAAGTCCAATCAGCTTCCATATGCAAAAGACCAGGTTGTCGCAGCGGTTGTGGTGTGGGCGGGACCCGGGCTTTGCCTTCTGATTGGTGGCGATATATGCTGAGGAGCAGTGCCATCAGCCATACACTAAGGGAGTGCATTTTAGAATTAGAACTTTGGCACCCACTATTCAATTATATATAAGGAGAGATAATGCGTGAACAGTACAAGCCTAAAACTGTTTTCCTGGGAGTAAGCCCCACTGAGTAGACCTGAGCAGGGTTCTGAATAGACCTGCTTCATGTGGCGCTAGAAAGAAATCGAGACATACAGGACTGTTGATGTTTAGGGGGAATTGCTGTTTTGCATTAACTGGCAACACCCACCCACCCGTACCCGTCCCATAGGCGCCCACCCCCCATCATTACCACAACATTCCTTAGGAGCTTTCTTGGGAATGTTCTCGGTGACACTCTCCACCAGTCCCCATCCTGATCCGTTTGCTTTCGAATATTATACTAGCTGTGGCTGACTTGCTCCAAGTATGTTTTCTCAGAAATAAGTCCTCATAAGTCCAGTAGGATGTGCTTTCCAAGCATGTGGTGCATAGAGAGGGATTCTTTTTTTCTTTCTTTCAAACACAGTTGTACAAAAAAGCCGCACATCCAACCTCAAGTCAGAG